TCTGGCAGGTCTGCTGTGGCAGGTGCAAGGGAGCCACAGCAGGATGTGGAGCAGAGGTGGCAGCGCCAGACCTAGACACTAGAAAGAACTACCGGGAGAAAAGGATGGAGGACCAGATTCTGAACACCGAGAATCTGGAAGTGGAAGTGGCTTCCAAGGGGAGGAAAGATGGCTGCTGTGGAAGTAAACAGGAGCCCATTAGAATTCAGAACAGCTGGCAAGACACAGCCCGGAATAGTCTCAGAAGGCTTCAGCGTCAGAGATGACAGGTGAAATGAGTTCTCAGGAAAGAAAAAAAAATGATTGTCAGGCATGGTGTTCATGAATAACCATTATCTAATTTAATCTTCACAGTTACCTAGCAAAGAAAGCACGATTATCCCCATGCCAGGGCTCACTCAGGAAAGTTGAAGCACCCACCCTAAGTGACAGACCTAATGAGAGGCAGAAAGAACTGCAAACACGCATCAGCCAGAGCCCACACATGTTTTCTCCACCACCCACTCAGTAAGCAGTAACTCAAATGGAAGAAAAGAGGCCTAAGGAAGACCTCTGGGAAACAGCCAGTTGTTGTATTTAATTTTAGGCTGAAGTGTCCAAAAAGGACTCATACCTTGTTGCCAGAAGGATTTAAAGAAGCTTACATGAATGCACACGAAATTAAAGGTAAGATGAATGAAGGCAGAAAACAAGACAAAGGAAGAAGAGGGGAGAAAAGACAAGACACAGCAGGAACGGGCCAGTGTGAAACCGCACGCCCTAACATTAGGTACATTTGGATGGACTTCAGATTTGCCTCTCAGTTTTCCAGCGAACAAGAAAAAGAAGGAAACATCAGTTAAAGAATTCATAGTGTCTGTAAGATAAAAACACTCCATTTGCTAAGAATAAAAACAAAAACTATGGTGTTGAGACCAGGGAGAAATTTTACTCCAAAAGTTCCTAGAGAAAAAGAAGGAAGCAACATCATCTCATCCACAAGAAGAACAGGCATCACGGAAGGGGCACCGACTGCTCCCAGGCACTGTGCCTCATCTCAGTCAGTCCTCCCAACTGCTCAAGGACAGCCTGCACCATCTTCAAGAGGTTCTCCCTGGATATCTAGCAGCAGAAGGTTGAAGGCTGCTCTCCCTGCCAGGGACTCAGGCCGAAGCTGCCCCTGCACTGGGTACAGCACAGCTGGATGTGCCGACAGGTGGCTGCAGGGAGCAGGACTGACAGCAGGCAGGAACATGAGGGAGCCTGGCCAGGATGCAGACCCACACCGGGGGCTCCCCGACCTGCCTCCCCCATGGAAAAGTCCAGCTCTTCAGCCAGGCTTCTGGATCTGCCCCAGGGCAGGACCGACGTTAGGAGCTCGAGCTCTATTTGTCCCGGGCAAAACCTACCTACTCTCAGACTTTCCTCTGAACGGTGCCAATGCCCACACTTTCTAAAGGATTTCAGGTCACCAGGAGGAAAATATGAGTAGAAACAAAAAAATTATCAGAACTATGCATTCTGATTATGATTCTAAAACCAGAATTCCAAAACGGTTAAAACTGAGAAATGAAACATTCACTACATGGGCAAGTTACATAACAAAAAAGCAACTTCAATGTAGGACATTCCTTTTTCCTCCCTGGTTGGGTATCTGAATGCAAGCCAAAACACAAACAAACGCTCCAAAGTTACATCTAGCCTGTTGCCTCAGCTTAAGACCAACACATGTGAAACTTACAATTTTTCAGCTTCCAGACATAACAACTTAAGGGCTGTGAGTAGCCTCCAAGATGGTCCATCCCATCCGAATGTCAAATTTCTGAAGCAGAAAAACAAATAATGACAAATCCGTCATTTCAGTATTTCATGAGCTCATAGCAAATGACTGAAGAGTCAAACACATTTTTAAAGGGGTTGCTAAATGTCATGTAACCTGCAATCTTGGTCAAAGGACAGGAGAAAATCAGTCGCAAATACTTAAAAAGAAAGCCTAAGTAACAGAAAATTCTCTCCCCATTTTTTTTTAAAGAGTAAACAGCTCTTTTGCAATAATTTTAGTAAGAAGCTTGAACATGAATGAGGGGCCTGAGGCAGGGCCCATGCGCAGGAGTTCCCAGTAAGAGAAACGCTTAAGAACTGGAACTACCCGGGCAT